AACAAAAATGCATGAAACTTACTTGGACTGGCGCTTTGGTCAAATCCTCTTTTGGGTGGTTTACAGCAGGGTGAACCGACAGTCCAGTAGGGTCGCTTGGACTTGAGAAGTTAGCGCAGACGGCATGAGCTTGAACATATTCATTTCGGGGCAATTTTCTCCCCGTTTTTGACGACTTTGAAAATGGTCGACATACTTGTGTTAAGCGTCGCTGCAAGGCATTTGCCAATACAGGGGCAAGGATACCGCTGGGATGATTACTACGCTTGTGTCTGTCAGCTGCTTGTGAGTTCAACTTGGCAAACGGTTGTTGTGTAGCCAGGCCTGTAGTAAAGTTCCAATGGCTCTGTTGGTTAGGATGCTCCGGAGGTGTTAGGGGCGTATGGATGGAGGAAGAAGCTGAAGAAACTTGAAAGGAAGACAGGGCCGAGTTTTCCTTGGTCTCCTGGGAGCGTCGACAGAGTAGGAATACAAGCAAAGCAATAGTAAGAAGTAAAAGCGGGACAAATCCACAAGCCAAGAAGAAGATGGAATTAGGGAAATCCGGGGAGGTCCTCATCTCCTGCTTTGGCAAACGGGAAGTTCTGGGAGGGAACGGACTGGGACTGGAGAGCATCATGTCCGGATTGTTGTATCGTGCAGTTGTCAGCTGAACTGAACTGGAGAAAGTTTTATGAGCAGGGTCCTTCATGATCGGGGTCGAGCCAGCTGTCAAATGAAAAAAGCGTACCCATGTAAAGGCGGGCAAAATAAGAAAATATCACTTTTTCTGGAAAAATGAACGATATTGCTGTTAGTTCAACGGAGGCCAATTTAACCCTTTAAGCTTCTTTTTAGAAATCCAAAGTGTAAGTTATACATTTGTTGTCCGTAACCATAAGTAAATGAAATGCAAGATTTATCCCGACGTGCTAACGAAATTTATTCCTAGCCGTCTGGAAGCAGTATTGTCGGGATGGCGGATATTTAGCACGGAAAGAAAAAGCTACCAAGCGGACTGAAGGATAGATGTAGGAACAGAGAATCAATTACTTCCGAAAAGATTGACAAATTTACCCACAGCGTGAAGATTCCTCCTTTAAACATGAAGGCAAAAAATTTTCGAGTATATCGAAGAATTCACTATCTCTCGACCGATAATAATGCCAACGTTTCCGAGAATTTTTAAAGTAAAATAGTTTCATTTATTTTTCAGTCAATCGAATTTCATTATCATAGAAGATCTAAAATGCCTAAAAGCAGTATTATTGCGTAAAGGTAATGACAAAAGTCCATATTTGTGTACGATATTTTACGAGCAAGTGTAAGGGCGCTCCTGACAATAGAGGTTATTTTTTTCAGAATTCGAGAGTCCGTGGCCTCAAGGACACATCTTTATGAGACGTAAAATCTCCCTAAAACTGCGCAATCAGATTTTCAAACTGATGTAAATTGCAAAATCCGGACTTTATGTCAATTTGGTAGTCAAGCTCACCGGATTTTTATGTAATCACCCCTTGGGTACGTGACAATGTGCACTGAAAGATCACAACACTTCAAAGGGTCTGAAGGAGGATTGCTATATTAGCCAATGGTGGTGACTTACTGCTTTATGGAGTTCACATAAAAAATTTTCACACATTTATCAGATCACAAGCAAACGTGTAATGTCTGGTAAACTTTACAAAGTACAAAGGAAACCACAAGGGCCTACAAGCCTAACAGTTTCTTAAAATGCCATAGAACAGGCATCCACTTAAAGGTGAGACTGAACGTACTGCATTTTCAGCGGGCGTAATGTAGAAATGCCTGTGGTTAATTTAACCTTTTGAGACCGAAAAATAAGTCTATATCTCGAGAAA